GCTGGCTTAGCGAGATGCTTCACTAAGCTCCGTGGCTTTTCACCAGCACTCACGCCAGGATATCAAATTGGTTTCGATTCATAATAATTACACTCGCTTTTAATTACATCCTTTAACAAAATGAATTTTCAGCAGAGAGGGAACGTTGCGGTCTTCAGAGAGAGTTGAGAAACACGTGGAAGGAGTTTGTGGGGGATGAGGGGGTACAACATCAGACAGAAATCTGAATGGCTAAATATCAGATACACGATATTTCAACTCAGGCAGGGAAATACGGACATGGAGCTGCAAATCCGGACCCACCTTGGCTGGGTTGAGCGCGGTGATGACCCACACGCAGTAGGCGTTGTTGTCGTACTGCACGGGGTAGTTGGGAGACGTTATCACCCCGCTGGGCCCACGGAGGTACATGTCACACATCCGAGCTGCAACAGGGACACAAGGGAGATACGAGAGCTAAGAGACCTCACTCCACATGTACACTGCATTCTTTGTTGAAGGATTAGAGAGAAACAGAGATGCGTACAGTATGGAATGGGGGAAAATTAAGGGGTGTTGTTAGTAGGTCGAGAGAGGTTCTCCTGCCCCTCTGCTCTGCCCTGCTCACACCACAGCTGCAATCTTGGGTCCAGTGCTGGGCCCTCAGCTCAAGAAGGACAGGAACTGCTTGAAAGAGTCCAACAGGGCCACAAAGATGCTGGAGGGAGTGGAGCATCTCCTGCTGAGGAGCGGCTGTGGGAGCTGGGGCTCTTGAGCTTGGAGCAGAGGAGACTGAGGGGTGCCCTCATTCCTGGGGATCCATTGGGAAAGGGCAGTGTCAGGAGGAAGGAGACAGGCTCTGCTCTGGGATGGCCAATGCCAGGACAAGGGGCAATGGTCCCAAGCTGGAGCACAGGAGGTTCAAGCTGAAGATGAGGCCAAACTTTGTCAGGGTGAGGGTTATGGAGCATGGCCCAGGCTGCCCAGAGAGGTTGTGGAGTCTCCTTCTCTGCAGACACCCAAAGCCCTGGCCGTGTTCCTGTGTGACTGCTCTGGTGATCCTGCTCTGGCAGGGGTTGCACTGGGGGAGCTTTCCAGGTCCCTTCCAACTCCTCATATTCTGTGATACTGTGAAAATTAAAAAATTGCTGCTCTGTGTAGCTTTCACTACCCAAAAGTCTACTTTTCTTCGCATGTAACAGATTAAGGGTTTCTCCATGATGAATGGATGAGTGGGGCGTTCGCAGGGGCTATCAAACAGATGGACCACCAGACCAACCACCAACAGCCCATTCCCTAGCCTGATTTTATCTATTTTTTACTATATTAAAGCCCTCATAGAAATATTTCCACGTCCAGAACAGTGAAACCAACTGCATGGAAGACCCCAGGTAAAACAGCTCCTTTTCCATGTCCCCACAAAGTGTATTTCCTTCCTTAATTGCAGGCCAAAAAAAAATACTGCACAGCAAGTATTTATTAGGAAAGGGCTGACTCCATCCTGACGTGAACCAAAACAGCAGCTTCACTTTGTATCTTAAAAACATCTTAGGCAAAGCAGATGCTGAAAAGTGCTTAAGCAGGGAAATTTTTGCCCGTGGTATTCCTTTGATGTAATATTTAACCAGAAAAGGCGAAGAGCGGCGTCCTGGTTTTGTAACTGCTCCTGCTGTTGTGGTGGATCCCGAAAATTAATTTCCCTTGAATCTCAAAGGAGCCGTATTTGCACTTGTGGCATCTGCAGGGCTTTTATTCCCTTCCAAATCGCAGTAAAGCATGGAAAAGGAGCTGCTGGCCAAACTGTCCGAGGGCAACAGGAGCACAAGGGGAATAAGTGAGACCTCCAGGACCCACAGGTTTGGTATCACTGGGTATAGGAACTGGTACAGTCCAGGGGGTTAAAAGCTGGGTCACCGGACACCCCAAGTTCTGCAACTGAAGATAAATTCAACACCCAGTAACAAAATGCAACCAGCAGAAAAAAAGTGTTATAAAGCCAAAATAAAAAGCAAATAGGAAACTTTTAAAAAAAATTTTAAAAATACCCCAAAAGTTAGCGGTTTAAAAAAACTGAGTTGATTCACAGAATCATCATAATGCAGGCAAATCCTTTCTTATCTCTTGCAAGAGGACACCATAAATTTCCTTTCTAGTGTCACATATTTATGCCAAATATCCTCTTACACTGATTCAATTTATTCTAGGCTTGTTTCAAGAATTAGATGGGATTGCGAAGCCTTGGAAAAATCTGCCGATGAAATTAAAGGAAAAAAATGAACTGGAAAAAATACCAATTTAGGACTTTAAGAGCTTTAGAAGGATTTAATTAAAAATATTACAAGTTGTCCATTATTAGCATTACAAATATGACAATTATGCATGCCACTGCTTTTTTTAGAGACAGAGAAGGGATGAAAACAAAACGGCCAAGGGCAAAGCGGGCGTTAGGAAAGGAAACTCCGTTCAGTGATGGCTCACGGATGGGTTGTGGGATAATCGGGATTTAATCCCAACATCGCTGCCCATCAGCATCAAGTGCCATTTACAGCATCTTCCAATTCTGTTCTGGGCTTTTCACCTTTCATCCCCACTCCTCCTCATCCCATAAAGAGAAATATCTGGGACAGAGCGGGCAGAAGGGGATGAAGGAACAGCAATGGCCCAGGCTGCCCAGAGAGGTTGTGGAGTCTCCTTCTCTGCAGACATTCAAAACCCGCCTGGACGCCTTCCTGTGTAACCTCATCTGGGTGTTCCTGCTCCGGCAGGGGGATTGGACTGGGTGAGATTTTGCGGTCCCTTCCCATCCCTGACGGTCTGGGATTCTGTGATTCTGTGAAGCATCGCAGCGAGATGAGGATGTACACACAGGTGTGAAGGACACAACTACAACCCATATGGTGCAGCACTAATAGCTTATAAATCTCCACAGGTAATGGAAATAGCTTTGTTAGCTCTGTTATGCAACAGGAACAGGTGCTTTTTCTTAAAACCTGAATTTTAAAAATTGCATGGGAACCAAGTAAAGGTTTCCTTCTCAGGCTTGAATCTGAACCTGCATTAATCTCACTCAGCCAGAGAACAAGAATCACCCTTGGAAAAGAATAAAGACCCTGCTGACTTTTGACCATGAAGATGATGAGACCTAAGTCCCATTTCCAAGCACAAAAGAGGGCTCTCCCAGCTCTGCCCCTTGCCTGAGGCAGGGATTTGGAAAAAGAAAGGGTTTTGGATAAAGGCCGGGGTCAAGAACCAGCTGAGGGACCCCCACCGAGTGATGATGAACATGATTGCTGGTCTCTTCTCCCAGGTGATGGGGGATAGGACAAGGGGAAACGGCACCAAGCTGTGCCAAGGGAGGTTCAGGTCAGAGATAAGGAGGAAGTTCTTTACTGAGAGGGTTGTCAGAAGCTGGAACAGGCTGCCCAGGGAGGTGGTGGAGTCACCATCCCTGGATGTGTTTAAGGAGCGGGTAGATGAGGTACTTAAGGATATGGTTTAGGGGGTAGACAGGAGCGGTTGGACGTGATGATCTCAGAGGGCTTTCCCAACCGAGCCATTCTGTGATTCTGTGAGGACAGAGTAGGTGACAGATGAAGGGGACACCAAGGAGATGGGTCCTCTCATTAATCCCAATAACAGCACAATTTCTGACTGCTCACCTCTGCACACCGGCCGGTGGTCGCTCCACGCCACGATGATGTCGCTCACTCTCTTGCAGGTGATGCTTTTGGAGCCCTGCAAATCGTAGCCCTCGTTGCAGGTGAACTGGATGCTGGAGCCTAACCTAGCGGACAGGACAGAGGGAGACGTCACCAACCGAGATCCTGCGGCAGCAACGGGGCTGTCACTCGCGTTTCGCCACCCCAGGGATTCTGCAAATCACTCTGGGCACCGTTTGCCCAACGCAGGGGCAGCCCAAAAACAGGCTCCAGCCTTTCCATGCACCTTCAGTGGGGATTTCATCCTGCGCGGGAGCACAGATGCAGCCCCACAGATTACATGCTCAGCATTCTTATAAAGAAAAATATATAACTTTATCTGCCACTGAAAGATTTAGTCTTTATTCTATCACTTTGGATTCGGATCCTTTGCTGGTTTAAGCCAATGCTGCTTTATTCAGTGAAGCGACACGATGCCAGTTTACAGCATTCGAAAATTTATCCTATGGCATTCAGGAGCTCCCTTTCTTCCACCCTCACACCCCCCACCTCCGATCCATTTTTTGGATTTCAGGAGAATTTGATAGACTCGGGTTAAATTGAAAGGCACTTTTAGTGAACAAAACAGCCATCGACAGCAAAATAAGATTAAATATTGATTCATCATTGCTAACAGCAGGCTGATTCATTCCTGCACACTTTAAATGAACGCTAGCGACTACAAGGGAATAACAGCATTGTTTTAAACTTTATAAGAAAACAATTACCTAGCACCAAATACACTTATTGACAAGGAGCTGTACCAGTTTGGGGAAGTCACCTTGAATTCCCTAAGGGCTGCAACTTAAGCTCATTTGAAATGTGATTTTTTCGCTGTTTAAGACACTTCTTTCTACACTTGACTGGAGGGGGGAACACCATCAAACACTGATTATACGTTATAAACACTTGTATTGTGAAAAGAGAATATCCTGGAAGAGAGACCATTAAACACCCTCATGTGGGACACAGCCTCCCAAACACACACGCAGACACACTCGTCCTGCACCGCGACTCCCAGCAAGCTCGTCAGCCGAAACGCAGTCAGGTGTGCAGACGGTCTCTGAACCAGACTACGTGAAGCCAAGGAGCACACACCACACGGCAGCTCTGCAGCATGCACAAACACAGATCAGGAAAGGTTCTTACCGAAAATCGTTGCCTATCCTTTTGCCCCTCTCTGGAATCCCAGGGTCTGGACACATATTATGTCCCTGGGACACACCAACCTGAGTTACTACAAGGCAAAAAAACAGCACATACAGAGACAGAATAGCAAAAGGCACATTCTTTCATCAACTGTCTTGGTGGATGTGGAGAGAAAAATGGCAATAGGTAGCTCAAAACCCCGGTCGTGTCCCATTTTGTTTAGAGAAAAACAGCTCTGGAAACAAATGCAACTGGAACCGTTTCAGCTCGGTTTACACACCACCGTGTTTTCTAGGAAACGCCAGCTAGGGATGCAGTTTTTCACTACAGAGGCACCTCTGAAAAGGGTTTTTTTTCCCCACTCTGCAAAATTACACCAATTAAACAGCCTGTGATCAACAGAGCCACCTGTGACAGGACAAGGTGACAGCCCCCCACCCCTCCAGGGAAGGAAAACAACTCGATGAGAAGGTAGGGATGTGATACAGGGAAAAACCGAGCACAGAACGAAGGGGAGAAAGGAGAAGGAAATGCAGGTCTAGCATTTTAAAGCAAGTAATTTAGTTGGAATATGAAAAATTTTATGGAGCAACCTTAATGTAACTGCCAGACGTGAAAACTATGCAGCGATCACCAAATAAACACCTCCAAACTTCATTCGCTGCCTCCCCGTTTCTACCTCCCCCCTGGCTGGGAATGACGCACGCAAGCACTGGCCTGGGGGGACATAACCCGGGACATGGATGAGATCTGGCAATCACCAATTTCCAGTTTGAATTCCAGCAACTACCCAAAATGCACAATAATCTGGGGACAAAGGGGTGACTTCATCACGGAGCTGTAGAAGTTGACACGACTCAGTTTTCTCGTAGCGCTAAGGGGAGGACGCAAAGCAAATGTGGTGTTTCTTGGCGATGGTGCAGAAGCAGCAAAGCAGGAATGGGCAGCAAGCATGGTGCCTGTCACTAGATTAAAGGCAAACACCACCTCAGTTACGCTTCAGAACCACGTTAACACAGCGCCCCAAAGACCGCGGCCCAGGGGATGATGGTGCAGCGGTAACAGCGCGCTGCTCACACCACGTTGGGCCGACAGCTCGAGATCCGCACGGCGCTGAGCTATGGAGGTCACACACGTAAATATCGGCATGGGAAGAGAAGCGCATGGAGTCTGCACAGCATGAACAACCAGAGAGGCAAGACCATCAAACGGGGTAATTATTCACTGGTTAATTACACCTTGTGTAGCCAGGCGCTACAGCTGGAAGAGGTAACGCTGCTCCTAAAGGATCACTCTGCTCCTTTGTATGGGGCTTTCATCCAAATATCTGCAGCCTGGGCTGGTGGGAGGTGTCCCTGCCCATGGCAGGGGCTGATTCAGGTCATTTTTAAGGTCTCATCCAACTCAAACCATGCTGCGATTCAACACCCAACTGCTGGCCACATACATCAAGCACATCACAGCTTCCCACCTCCTCCTCGCCTCCAGGCATTAACATCTCAACCCAGCCTCCTAATTTGGGAAGGGCCTTGGTCTCTCCTGGCTTCCCTCCCCACCTCATCTCCCACCTCACAGTGCTGGGGCCTACCCCCTGCCCCAAGCAAGGCCGCTGTGCTGCTCCTGCAGGATCCGGAGATGGGGCTGGGGCTTTTTGAGGGCATAAAAAGCAATGTGTGTGAAATGTCTGAGGGCAGGAAAGCAACAGAGATACAGCTTTGTGGGCAACCAGGCTCCTGAGAGGTCATTTCCCCTCCTTTGCATGGCGATGGCCTCATGTTAAGCTCAGTTATGGGGACAAGCAGAGACACCAGCAAGCATGAAAGCAGCACGAGGTCTCCTTTGATTTTGGAGCTACAAAGCTTGGCTGCCACCTTTCACAGGTCGTGGTGATGCTGAATGTACAGCAGAGCCAGCAGGAAGGGATTCACCTCTGGTATTTTCAGTAACCGTGCCCCAATAACTGAAGAACCCTGCTCCAGGAGCGGGCACCTCCAGCAGGTCTCAGAGATCCAAAATTTGGTGATCCCTCTGCAAACGAAGTCAGCAGCTTCCCAGGCCCCTTCTGCTGGTGCTGAAGTGACACGGTGCCGCTGAGCAACGCAGGGTTGGCTGAACAAAGCACACGGTGACACTGCCTTCCTTCAGGTTTCTTAATTCACTCCCTGCCCACACACACACGCTGACTGCGCACACAGGTATCTCCAGTCACAGTAAAATCAACACTCAAGGGTTGTGTGTCACAAGTCCGTATGGTATTGAAGGGAAAAGGCTGAGATTTCTCATCTTCTGCACCTTCTCCAGAGTAAGACCCCACTATGCAAGATAAAGCTATGATGTATATAACACATGCACAAACACAGCTACGTCTGCATTCAAACATCTGGCTGCTCTTCCTTGCACAGCAATGACCAGATTTGCCTCTCCACAGCAAATTCTTCCTCCCATGGCCAAAAGACCACCCAGACCACACCATTCCCACCCACACCGGTATCACACCCATTTATTTTGTCCCTTATCGGATGACAGCCTCGAAGCCTCCGATTCAAAGCCAGGCCACAGATGACCAGCAAAACCCAGGCAGGTTGTCAGTCACCAACCACATTTCTGAAGACTGAGAACAGCTCTTCTCGTGTTAGCGAGCGTTTTATTAATATCTATATGGCATGAGTAGATAAACCAGAGAGAGATAAGATAAAACAGAGCAAGGGGGAAAGGAAAGATATCTCCACATCATGATAGTTGGGACATTTTACTTTGTAAATGTGAAGGAGAGGAGAGGAAAAGGAGAGGATGGATTAGATGGTCGCTCACAGAAACTTCTGTTCTTATATCTTTTGATTTAAACGCACAGAGATGAACATAACTACACCAGAGGTTATAAACCATATTTGTTATGCTGAGAACTTGCTGTCAGTCCCACGTTCGTCTTCCTGAAGCTTTGACTGATCGATGCCTGCGCTGTAGCGCTCCACAATGAACGCCTCAAGGTTACCAGGAAAACAACAGGTCTCAAAAACCGTGATGGACTGCTCGGTTTCTACATTACAGGCTCAAGGATTCTCTCCCCCAAGCCATGGAAATGGTTTTCCACTCCTCTTGATTCTTTCCAACAACTTCCTTCCCATGGCAGTGGATAACAGCCAGTTGTGGTTGCCCTGTTCACGCAGTCATTTACTCCATCATCCCTCTTTAGTTTTCCTATCTCCCAATATTCATAAAGAAAGTTCACAGATAGACTCCCAAGGGACAATTATTTTTTAAAAAATGGAATTTAGCAATGTAAAATATGAACTACAAAATAAAGCAGCGTCTAAAAAAGGTTTTATAAAGACTTAACGTTTCTCAGCATGAGAAATACAGCGCAAGTGAGCTCTTCTACCAGCACAGGGGTTGGGAGGGAAGGATTTTAGCAGTTAGTTGTTTTTAAAAGGTTGACCTTTATGACCATGCTAAAGCTCGCAGTCACTCCACGCAACCCTGTGGCCAAGTGAACAGGTTACAGAACCCAGTCTAAAAGCAGCAGAGCTGCCCTCCAGATCACAGCCCAACCCAGCACGGGGCTGAAGGTGCTGAGCAGCCCAAATCTTCCCATCAGAGACCTGGCTGAGACCTAAAACTAACACCACCTCCAAAATGACTTCGCATTCGTACACTGAAATTAAGGCTTTGACAAACCTGACCACGCACAGAACTCGCACCACTTCGTACCACCCCTTCCAATGACATCCAGCAGCTATGCCTCGTTCAAAGGCCAGAAAAGCAACTTCAATGCCGTTCTGTAAAAGCAAAACACCATGGTTTTCCCACTGTGTGACCCGGAATATGCACATTTACACGCTGCACGCAGGAAAAGAAATTATCTCCTAAATGCAACCTAAAATTTAGAACTACGTCTTATAGCTCATTCTCCAGATCTATATTATTTTCCCCTCTAAAACTGCTTAAAGCAAAGTGTCCAAGTAATTCTAGGGATGGTGAACAGTACGAGGCACTTGATTTCAATTTCAAACCAACACGTTTGGTTGCAACCAGACAATTATTCCCCAAAAGTCCATATTTTTATGTATTCCTTTCCTGAAATGGTACCAAGAGCCGTTATGTGACAACATTTTGCCTCCATTCAGACACATGAAACACAGAGATTTAATCTGGCCAGGTAGGGTCAAATTTTCTGAATCCTCCCAAATTCCTGCAGGACACAAAGCTTGGAGCTGCGGATGCCCAATGTGGCCATGGGTTTGTCAAGGGGGAATTTCAAGATTGATGCAAAAAGCACCAGAAAACACAGCTGGGAAGGAAGCCTCTGAAAATAAAGCTCTGGCTACTACCAAGAGACACAGAAATTCCTAACTTTCTGCTATTCAAACCAGATGAAATAAGGGCAACACTGTAAAATTCCCAGGTGTTTAACCAGCCTGGCCCACCTGTATCACAACCTCTGATGCATTTGCAGACTCATAAACTCGTGGAAGTTTGAGAGCAGGGGGGCCACGGCTCGCCGTGCCAACCCAAAAAAGCAAGGGAAAGA